AAAAGAAAAAAAATGTAGAGGTGGGGGGGGGGGGGGGAGGGGAGTAAATATGAACAATTAACTCTCTTAAATTTATCACATAGACAATGTAAATGAAGAACAAAAATGAAAAAAAATTCAAATATCAAATAATAGTTGTCCACTATTGACTTGACAGAGAGATTAAGAAAGTAGTAAACTAAATATAAGTCATCTAAACATTGAAAAATGAATAGAATTTAATAGCAAGGTAAAATAGAAACAACATGATAAATTAATATTCGATCTTCATAGAGTCCCCGAGATATTTCCTTACCAAGTTTATCATAGTATCATGTATAACTCCTCTTGATTTAGATTGACTTGATATTGAGTTAAAGAGAATATACAAAAGTTTTGAACCTTGTAAAATATATTAAAATGTCTTTTAATTTTGTACGTAAAGTAAAAATTAAAGAGTTAATAAGAAAGAATAAAAAATTGGAAAGAACTGGAAAAAAAAATGCAAGACAAATAAATTAAAATTAAAATGATAAATTATGAAAAATTGTTCAAAATTCTATCTTTAATGTAGGTCATAAACCATAGTTTACCAATTAATTCGATGGAAAATATTTAAATTAAGTTGGGACTGAGTGAGTACTTATCATCGTATAAGGTTAGCATATTCCCCGCAATTCTAGACGTATATACTGGGAATACAGGTATCTATTTACTTCCTCGATTCATATATAAAGGAGCTTCTACTCTTGAGTAATGTGAAAGTTGAGTTTTCCCAAAAGATGAGTTTGTCAAGAATGACTTCTTTTGGGTATTGTATTCTTGTTGTTTTGGGTTTGATTGTGAGTGAGTCAGTTTTATGCAATGGTGGAGTCACCAGTAGTTTTGTTAGAAAAGTTGAGAAAACAATTGATATGCCTCTGGATAGTGATGTTTTCAGTGTTCCTCCTGGACATAATACGCCTCAACAGGTATCTTCATATTCTCCTTTTTCTGTTTTCTAGTTTGTATTTTTTCATTTAGAGCTTTTAACAAACACTTTTGATGCATCATTGACCTTGCTGTGAGTTGTTGAATTTTTTATGAGATATATTTGATGCACTTTTCACCTTCTTTTTTTTTTCCGTTTTTGTTTAATGGCACTTTACTTTGATTTTTTAATAGGTTTTGGGGTATACTAGTAGAAAAGTAGATATTTTTGGGATCCACTGAACTCATACAACTCTTGAAATTGAAATTATCGGTTTAGAAAAATTCATTTTCAGAGCTAAGTCCAAGGAGGCAGGTGGGAAGGTATGGGCGTAGGCTACCTTCTCCTCCTACGAGTGATCACTTTTGCAGGCCGGCCACTGTGTGCGTTGTACGGCTGAAGGCATTGTTTATGTTAGATTCTTATCTGATGCCTTCTTTGTGACTTTCTACCAAGCCATTATTGAAGAACCTCTTGTTTTAATATTTGTCAAAAATTTTACTGTCAAATGAACAACATATCCGTTGTTCTAGAGAGGGTAGAGTATATGAAGATCTTACCTTTATCTCGAGGAGGCGTAGAGACTCTTTCCAAGAAACCCTTGTCTCAAGTGAAGCAAAACAAATTAGTATTAAAAAAGGAAAGAGGCAGGCAAGAACATAACATCAACAAAATAGTGCGATCACCTAACATAGTAAATAACAAATTGTAACAGATAACAAAAGCAAGAAACTACATGAATAAGGCTATTACTGTGACAAACACGGTGCCCCGCACTAAGTTGAATCAGTGTGGGAAATTCTGGGTTCAGTTAAAACCCATTGGACAAATGGGATGGTGTTTAAAGTTTTTATCAGATGTAACAAATTTTGTTTATGCTTGTATCATTCATGGAATTTGGTTTATTTGCCAATTGATTCTGTTTGGGGTGTCTTTATAAGGTTCACATAACACAAGGAGATCATGTGGGAAAGGCTGTTATTGTTTCATGGGTGACTATGGATGAACCTGGTTCAAGTACAGTAGTATACTGGAGTGAGAAAAGCAAGCAAAAGTATAAGGCCAGCGGAAAAGTTACTACCTACACATATTATAACTATACTTCTGGTTACATCCACCACTGCAATATCAAAAATTTGAAGGTGAATATTCTTTCTTTCATTCGCTTTTTTGGTTGGATAATTTTGGTTTCTTGAGCATTTCTAAACTACTTTTACCCTCTATAATGATGCTCAAACTTACAATGGATTTAATACTCCTTTGCAGTTTGATACCAAATACTACTATAAGATTGGGATTGGACGGGTGTCACGAACCTTCTGGTTCACAACTCCTCCAGAAGTCGGCCCTGATGTACCCTATACTTTTGGTCTTATAGGTAACAATTTCAACCAAATTATTGCTGTTGGTACTTCGTGGAGCTTGCTTTGGTTATTTTACACACTGCTTCTGAAGTTTCATTGATATTGTGCTTTCTCATACCGTACCAAAATAAAGATATATTGTACAATCATGTTGATGTGAATATGATTTAGACCCTGAATCTAGGATTGAGAGATGACAAATTTTCTAGTTTATTGTGTGAAACAGCATTATCTGCATGACGCATAAACTTCGTTACATGTACGTTATACATACAGCATGCTTCTCCTTCGGTGCATATGCTGAACATGGTTCAGTGAGAACCTCTTTGCATACTTCCAAAGGAGAAGGAGAAATGATAGCTAAAAAACATTTATGCTTGTGTTAGCGTTTGTGCAGCATTTCTCAGCCAACCTGCATTTCATTGCAGGGGATCTTGGTCAGAGTTTCGATTCAAACAAGACACTCACACATTATGAATTAAATCCAATTAAGGGGCAAGCAGTGTTGTTCGTAGGCGACCTATCTTATGCTGATAACTACCCTAATCATGATAATGTAAGGTGGGACACATGGGGAAGGTTTGTAGAGAGAAGTACTGCTTATCAACCTTGGATTTGGACAGCAGGAAATCATGAGTTAGATTTTGCTCCTGAAATTGTAAGTGATTCCATACTATTTCCCTTTTTGCTTAAAACTTATTTCTTGTGTATTTCATGGATGCTTTAACCTAATTTTTTGAGCTAGATATAGAGATATATACTGATGACGAAACTGCTAATATTAGCTCCTACAGAGCTTTATTAATGCATTTCTTGACCTTCAGCCAATTGAGAAGAAGCTGTGTTAAAACCCTTTTGTTTCAATGTATGAACAGAAAGCATACTTGCATGAATTCTACATTCCTCACAATATCAGTATATCTTAACCAGAGATTCTGCTCTATATTTCTAGTTTGAGTGCGGTGAGTTTATTGAAGCTGGTATCTCTCTCTGTTCCAACAAAAAAATAGATAAACATTTCCTCTGCTTTGCAAAGGAAGTGGCATGAGATTCATATTGCACGATTAAAATGACTATATTTAGAGAGACTAATAATGAGCAAGCATGTATGCTTTAGAGAGAACCAATGTGGTTATAGAGTTTATTGATTGAACTCCACAGCAAAAAAGACAATTTGCTTGTGCTTTTCCATTCCTTTAATAATAATGTCCTACATTTTAGATGGTTTTGCATGGAATTTTGATGAATACATTCTGATACTGCCTGCAGGGGGAAACAAAACCATTCAAGCCCTACACTCATCGGTATCATGTCCCATTCAGAGCATCAGACAGCACATCTCCACTTTGGTATTCAATCAAGCGAGCCTCAGCGTATATCATAGTTTTATCGTCATATTCAGCATATGGTAAGGATACGGTATTCTTGTGAATGATACTTGGCATTGAGTTATGAACTGGTTTATGCTTTCCCTGTTCCTCTTCTTTAGTGTGGACATAGAACTTAGAAGTACTCAGCCAGAAAATATCATCTACAGTCTGTTACTTTTCCAGTTCTTGAAGAATTTAGAAGTCTTTATGTAGTAATACCAAAAATTTCAGTCCACAGTCGATGTCTATCTTTTGTTCACATTCACCTTGCTCCCAAAAAAGTCTGTGAGTGCATTTTCGTGGTCTCTAGTATAGGTTATTCAGGAGAGGCATCTATTTCGAAAATTCAGGACCATGGATTTGTCTGTTTTCTTATAAGTTCCTTTTCTTTCCTCCATTTAATAGGCAAATACACTCCTCAATACAAGTGGCTTGAGGAAGAGCTACCAAAGGTTAACAGGACTGAGACTCCGTGGCTGATTGTTCTAGTACATTCACCATGGTATAACAGCTACAACTATCACTATATGGAAGGGGAAACCATGAGAGTAATGTATGAACCATGGTTTGTACAGTACAAAGTGGATATGGTTTTTGCAGGTCATGTTCATGCTTATGAACGAACGGTACGTACAACTCATCCAGTTCTCTGTAGCTTATGTGAGAATCTTAGTTTTCATCTGTTATAGAAGATGTAAGCTTTTATTATGTTTCAGGAACGGATTTCTAATGTGGCCTACAACGTTGTCAATGGAGAATGCAGTCCTATTAAAGATCAGTCTGCTCCAATTTATGTAACAATCGGTGATGGAGGAAATCTTGAAGGCCTAGCCACCAAGTAAGATTAATCTAGGTCTAGAAAGTTGTTTTATCTGTTGTGGTTGGCGTTTCTGTGAGACAACTAATCAGATATCTTGTACACTAATTTCAGCATGACAGAGCCACAACCAGCTTACTCTGCATTCCGCGAGGCCAGTTTTGGACATGCCACTCTTGCCATCAAGAATAGAACTCATGCTTATTATAGTTGGCATCGTAATCAAGATGGATATGCTGTGGAAGCTGATAAAATATGGGTTAACAACCGAGTTTGGCATCCAGTTGATGAGTCCACAGCAGCCAAATCATGATGATATACACGAAATTTCATCTATCTTTTCTTTCCTTTTCCTCAGTAACATTGTGTACTTTTTTGATGAATAAATGTTTCATTATTTCAAGCTCTTGCTGCCTCATAATTTGTTAAACGTCCATTTGGGACATGGCAGAAGAGTCATTGTGTGGAAAACGAAAAAAACGTCGTAAAAGAAAATCGAAGGACATACATTTGTTCATATTACTCATTTTTCCAAATTATAATTCTAATCATTAGTCATTTTCTTTAATTATAAATTATTTTACATGGTTGTCTAATGGCTGATGGTTAAATCAGCTTACACTTGGAACCAATATAAAAAGTAGAACTTAAAAATTGATTATAATGTTATATTTAAAATTTATCAAAGTTAGAGAAAGAAGACTTTTTTTTTTTGGGTAAAGCCTTAGACATATCATGTGATATAAATTAATAGCAAATGTATTAAGTTTTAATATTAATTAATTAACGAAGAAACGTGCCATAGACATATCATATGAGTAAATTAACAACTATAATATATCCAGGAGCAGGTGGCCGAAATCTTTTTCCCCATTTCACATCTTTTTTGTTTTTATATAATACACTCCTTCACGAGTAATTAAGTATCAATTAAATAAGCGTACTCATGTGGAGCGTTAATTCTAATCAATATCAGTGGACCAGGAAAAATAAAAAATGTATGAAATATGAGTATACAAAATAATATTCTCTAAGTGCATGCTTATTTGATATTTATACGATGAAAAGTAGTTTTTTTTTTGATAGGAAAGGATAATATATTATAATAACTTAAGAAGCGGATGCGATAGTTAATACTGATTAAGATACATACAAATTGATTTAGATATCACCGTGATAAGGTGTTACACTTTGTTTTGATAGTTATTACATATTATTTCATAATGTGTTGTATTAAATTATTTTAATGAAAATGTTAAATTATTTTGATGAATATAACATTTGATTAGATTGTATCAATCCACATCATTATATTAAAATATCAGACATTAACAATTTAAGGGGATAAGCCTAAAACAACAATAGCAACTACAATGAAATTTCACAAAGTGAATTCTGGGGAGGGTAGAGTGTACGTTGACCTTGCCACTATTTCTCCAAGGTAAAGAGACTGTTTCTGAAAGACTCTCGGCTCAAGCTAGGGTACAATATAGGGTCATCATAAAAACGATAAAGAATAACCTATGATTATTAGATAATAAGCAAATGTTTTAAAATGAAATGAAAGAAAATAAGTAAGATAACAAAGCGATCACACCAAATTGATCAGTACATAAAACAAGAATTTTATCATTACATAATAATAATTTAACGATCCAATACAATAAAATTTAAATAAATAATTTGTCAACGTCACAACCCACTTAAACATTACGACAGAATAACAATAATTGCAAAAATAAATAGAAGGGTTGCACGCATCGTACAATTAATCAAACGGAAGAACGTCGTGTTTAGACGTGGGACAACCTTAAGAATGAGAATTTAATGCTGATATGGAATTTTATTCAACATAAATAGTGAGATCGTATTATTATGGATCCTTCTACTAACTAAACTTTTCACCGATTTAAGTTTAAAATTAATTCATATGATCCACATTATAATCATATTAATTCATACTTAAGTTTATTTTTGTGCACCTCCATATTTTATTGACATAAGACCAAATGTGAAAACAAATTGCGAATTATATTTTGATTTTCTAAAATGACAATTATTTTGTTTATGTTTTTAGTAAGCATGCCGGGATTGACGACTAAAATGGATTGGAGTATTTGGAGGGATCGTATTTCCTGGATGCCTATATATAGAAGCTACTACTCTTGATTAATGTGAAAGTTGAGTTTTCCCACAAGATGGGTGTGTTTGGTTATTGCATTTTCGTTGTTCTAAGTTTGATTGTGAATGAGTCAGTTTTATGCCATGGCGGAGTCACCAGTAGTTTTGTTAGGAAAGTTGAGAAGACAATTGATATGCCTCTGGATAGTGATGTCTTCCGTGTTCCTCCTGGATATAATGCGCCTCAACAGGTATCTTCATATTCTCATTCCCAAGGAGTCAGGTCGGAATGTATGGGAGTAGGTTTGCCTCTCGAGTCTCGTCCTACAAATGATAGCCTCCCACAGGGTGCTTTGTATGGTAGTAGCTAGTTTATGTTAGCTGCTTATTCTTGACCAAAGTTATTAGTGAAGAAACTCTCTTGTCAAAATTTTATTGTGAAAAATACTGGCATAGTGTTTAAATTTTTTATCACATGTAATAAGTTTTGCTTATGCTTGTCACTTTCATGGAATTTGGTTTATTTGACAATTGATTCTATTTGGGGTTTCTTTTTTATAAGGTTCATATAACACAAGGAGATCACGTGGGAAAGGCGTTAATTGTTTCATGGGTGACTATGGATGAACCTGGTTCAAGTACAGTAGTATACTGGAGTGAGAAAAGCAAGCTAAAGAATAAGGCAAATGGAAAAGTTACTACCTATAAGTTTTATAACTATACATCTGGTTACATCCACCACTGTACTATCGAACATTTGAAGGTTAACATTCTTTCTTTCATTCCTTGAACAAAATTTAATATTGGGATGCTCAAATTGACAATGGATTTAATTCTCCTTTTGTAGTTCGATACCATATACTACTATAAGATTGGGATTGGGCACGTGGCACGAACCTTCTGGTTCGTAACTCCTCCAGAAGCTGGGCCTGATGTACCCTATACATTTGGTCTTATAGGTAACAATTCCAACCATATTATTGCTGTTGGAGCTTTCTTAGGTTATTTTACCATTGCTTTTGAGGTTTCATTTATATTGTGCTTTCATTTTTGTGGTGTTTATTAGTCAATCCTGCATTTCATTACAGGGGATCTTGGTCAGAGTTTCGATTCAAACAAGACACTCACACATTATGAATTAAATCCAATTAAGGGGCAAGCAGTGTTGTTCGTAGGGGACATATCTTATGCAGATAAGTATCCAAATCATGACAATAACAGATGGGATACTTGGGGAAGGTTTGCAGAGAGAAGTACTGCTTATCAACCTTGGATTTGGACCGCAGGAAATCATGAGATAGATTTTGCTCCTGAAATTGTAAGTGATACCGTAATATCAGCTCATTGAGATTTAATGCATTTCTGGATTTTAGATGGTTTTGCAATGGAATTTTGATGAATACATTTTGTTACTATCTGCAGGGGGAAACAGAACCCTTCAAGCCCTACACTCATAGATATCATGTCCCGTATAAAGCATCAAACAGCACATCTCCACTTTGGTATTCAATCAAGCGAGCTTCAGCATATATCATAGTTTTATCCTCATATTCAGCATTTGGTAAGGATATGACATTCTTGCGAGTACTACTTAACAACTTAATCCATGGTCATGCACTTCAACAACATTCACCTTGCTTCCCGATAATTCATAATGCATTTTCTCGGTGACTTAAAGGCTATTCGGAAAATTCAGGACTAGTGGATTTGTCTGTTTTTCTTACAGTTCCTTTTGTTCTTTTCAAATTTTAGGCAAATACACTCCCCAATATAAATGGCTAGAGAAAGAACTACCAAAGGTTAACAGGACTGAGACTCCGTGGCTGTTTGTTTTAGTACATTCTCCATGGTATAACAGCTACAACAATCACTATATGGAAGGGGAAACCATGAGAGTAGTGTATGAGCCATGGTTTGTACAGTACAAAGTGGATATGGTGTTTGCAGGTCATGTTCATGCTTATGAACGAACGGTATGTACAGCTCTACCAGTTCTCTGTAGCTTATGTGAGAATCATAGTTTCATCTGTTATAGAAGATGTAAATTTTTATTGTGTTTCAGGAACGGATATCTAATGTGGCCTATAACGTTGTCAATGGAGAATGCAGTCCTATTAAAGATCAATCTGCTCCAATTTATATAACAATCGGCGATGGAGGAAATCTTGAAGGCCTAGCCACCAAGTAAGACGATTAGTCTATGTCTAGAAAGTTGTTTTATCTGTTGCAATTGGCATTTGTCAGACAAATAATCGCATATCTTGTACACTAATTTCAGCATGTCAGAGCCACAACCAGCTTACTCTGCGTTCCGCGAGGCCAGTTTTGGACATGCCACTCTCGCCATCAAGAATAGAACTCATGCTTATTATAGTTGGCATCGTAATCAAGATGGATATGCTGTGGAAGCTGATAGAATATGGGTTAATAATCGTTTTTGGCACCCAGTTGATGAGTCCACAACAGCTAAATCATGATGATATACACGAGATCTCATATTTCTTTTCTTTCCTTTTCCTATGTAGCATTCTGTAATTTTGTTTCCTTACAAGGTACACGTAATGAGACAATTAGCATTTACGTACACTTGGTATGTTGTTGTATGTATATTTCCTAATGAGAGATATAGCGGCAAAACCAGCCAGTGGACTGACTATACAGTTTTCATATGCAACTGATACACAGAGAATATGTTGAACAAAAAATTACCCTGCAAGGTATAGAAGGTAACATCAAAGTACAAATGTGAACCATTTTTTTCCCCATGAAATTCAAGTATTACTTTATGCATATGTAATGAGTTACAATATGACGGACTATTTCATCTTTTACACCATTAACATCGTAAAACATTGGCATTTGAAAGTACCTTTTTTGAACCAATCTTCACAACAATTGAACATTTCACTTTTAGTTAATTCAATGATTCAAAAAAAGGTTTAAAACAAAAAATAATAATTTACTTGCTAGCTTCATAATAACAAAATATACCTTAGGTAGGTGGCGTTTAGGTTAGTTCTAAGTTTAACTCTGAGATAATTAATTTAAGGTGTCAATTTTAAGACAATTGTTGTCTAGATTTAATTTTGGAAGAACAATTTCATAAAAGTAATAATATTTTGAAAAGTAATATTAAAATCCAAAAACCAAATAAATGCTTTCTAATTAGTGAAGTCGAAGCAAATGAAATATAGAAGAAAAGACAGAAAATAAAAGTTGGAATGAGTTTTAGGGGATGAAACAGGTTTCCAAAATCAATCGTGCTCTTTAATCTATAAATTTATATAACTCGATGGAATCTTTATATAGTAAAATATTGAGTCGTATTCTAGCTTAATAACTACTTCACCACTCCATATATTACTTTTCTTTTTATTGAAATGAAAAATGGCATTCAACTTATATAAATTCATTTCTTCTTTCTAGTCTAATTTAACTATAGATGTAATTTGGGACAGCTAGAAAGGCTTGTTCGCAGTACTTTTGGTATGGGAAAAAATAAAAACGAATTTTATGGGAAGAAAGTGGAAAAATCAAAAGGAGAAGGGTGTTTCTCGTAAAGCATTATAGTTTCGGGGAGGAAATGACAAAATAGAAAGAACAGGGAGTTACTCGCCACAAACTTTATATAAGATGCACCGTCACCAAAAAATGGCGCAGGAGACGGAAACTACTCAATTGCACATTCGCCTTAGTCGTCACAATTCACATTTTGGCAACTCCGTTTTCAGCCATCGCCGAGAGAAAAAATAATAATTTCAAAAGCGCTTCCTCCACGATCTGGTTGCCGGAGGAGGCGATTTTTTGAATGAAGAGTTCACCTGAATTTTCTCGAAATGGCTGAATCGACGACAATTCAGAGGAGCTCGCCTGAAGGTGATGATCATGAACTGAAGGAGGAGAATATTGAGAAGAAAAAGGATTTTACTGCAAATCCTGAGTTCTTCAGTTGTATGCTTCAGCCAGCGCCTGCCGATTCAGATCCAAATTACATTGGAATTCGCCGGTTCCTCCTTCATCGCAAAGCTGAATCCGGTGTGCTTCGTCGCAAGGTACGCTTCTTTCACGCATATGTTAGAACACGTGATTATATGTAACTGCATCATCGCTGTGTGTACGCGTGATTTCTCTTCAGAATCAAATGTTAAATACATCCGTGTGGTATCCTGGTTCACATCGTATATAGGATCTCATTGTGAACAATTCATTGCTTACTTGACATGCATTTGTGGCACTTTCGGTTTATCTCAGTTTAAATTGATTTTTGTGGTTCATTGTGTAAACTATATGCAACTTTATCCTACATTTTGATAGTAGGATCTTTGTATTTGTTGCGATTAGCTATGCAGTGACTTGATAGAACTTTATTGCTTGTTTAAGGACTGGAGATGCAATGGAAAAGGATACGTAGCTTATCGTAATTATATTAGTAGGCCAAGGAATTGGGAGACGTTGCAAATACCAAGCCGACCAAGTACCCCAGGGAACAGGTGGTTGAGATCTATCTTCATTTCTTCTAGTAGCATGCAACCCCTTTATTGCTTAGTGTGCTTGATTAAGACTCAGAATTGGTTATTTACTTCTTACCATTTGTGTAATTTTCATTTATCAAATCACTAAGAACTTTGTTAGAAAGAGATACTCAGTTGACTTTTGTTGCACGTTCCTTTTCTACCGTTTCAGAATTGTTTTGACATCATGGAATTTTGGGGAATGTAAAACTTTACAACACGAAGCTTTTTATTTATTTATTTTTATCTTTTTTCATGTCATTTGTTGAAGTTCGTACTCCATACAATCTGACATCAGGATAATTTACTGGTTGATGCATCAGTGGGCGATGGATGCCTTCAGCAAGTCCAGTTTCCCAGTTACTCGAGTCAGATAGCTGGAATTCCTTAAAGGTATGTGCATCTTTTGGTTGTCTTTGACTAATATTTTTTCATAACTAGCCTATGCGTGCATCTATTTATGATGATTGATGAGTATTTGACTATCCATGACATGTCATCCAAAAGGTATTAGGATGATAGATTGTGTTTGCACCCTACGAATTAAGTTGAAGGGTGAAATTCATACAACTAAGTAATTTGAATCACTGGATTCTTTGGAAGCTGTTAACCTGCACCTTCTGAATATTCTTTAGAAATGAAACTTAAGCAGTAAACCTATTAACACTTTAATAAATTATAATGTCATAATGTTAATATTTCGAATGTAAGAACTCATGTATAACAATGCTTTATTTTGAAATGAGTATTAAAAATATGATCTGAAATACTAATAAAATGTACTTTTTTTGAAATTATAAAAGGTGTTCTTATAATTATGGAAAAAAAAGATTGTGGGAATTAGGGGTGTGCAAAAATTGAACCGACCGATAAACCGAACCGATAAAAGTGTTATTGATTTATTGTTATTGGGTTAACGGTTTTTTAATGGTTTTATAAAAAAAATTATTGGGTTATCGGTTCGGTATTGGTTTTTAATATTAGGTTATTGGGTAAATCGATAACCCATTAAGATTAGTAATTTACTACTTTTACTTGTACATAAATATTATATATTAATCTCAATACGTTACTAGTTCCTGTCTTTATCCTTTAGCCTTCATTTCACACTTCACATTATACAAAACGGTAAATCTAAAGTAAGAACCCTATTCCTTTTAATTTCTCTTTGTGTTACACTTATATAGTTCTTTTTATGCTTGTTATTATTGTTTCTATTTTATGAGTATTTGTAAAGTTACATTATTGTGTTTTCGCATCAAATTTATTAGAAAAGTCATATATTTTTTTATAAGTATTTTCTTATTGGTTAAACCGAAAATCGAAAATCGAACCGTTAAGGACCACTACCGATAAATCGTTCTTATTGATTTGGTTATTGGTTTAACATATTTAAAAACACAAAACCGATAAACTGAGCCGATAATACATTAAACCGAACCGACCGATGCACACCCCTAGTGGGAATTCATGTTTGTTTAAATACTTACGTTGACTTACTTTAAATAAGAGCTCTCAGTTTATTTGAGATATATGTGGCATATATGAATGGACTCTTTGTGGATTTAATGATATGCTTTGTTGTTTCCTTTTGAAATCTGTCTAGCATTTTCTGGGTGACCCTTAATGTGTTAAATGATCTTTTATTCTTACTATTGGAATATTACATGCTAATTGCTTGATACATTTGGTTTAAGTGCTGAGTAAGTTTATTAAACTACCTTTTTGTCCTCACTTGTACATATGGTTTCAATACAACCTATGTACTGATTTTATTTGTATATACACAAATGTTATAACCTAAACAAAAGACTTGAAGAATTTAAAGTTTGACCATGGAATGCTGCACTGTTCTCTTTTTCTGTTGTGTAGAGGGTTAAGTGGGGGTGAACAAGATTGTCATGGTATGCTTGTTTGGTTATATATCTATCCAGTGTTCTCATTTTTCAAATCTGCAAATGTTTATGCTAGTTCCAACTTCCATGTTTGAGATTCTATATTTGTAGATGTACCTTAATGTCTCCTTAAGGTCCTTTTTGCAAATACATGTCTTGCACTTGATCTAGAGATGTTGAATAACAATCAACTCATGGATTTTTTGGTTTATAAATGTATACATAGTTACATTCAGACTCTTGATTTGAGTGTCATAATATATTCCAGCATGGAGATGATAAGAACATGCAATTGCTCGATTTGTTCAATCTTCTTGGTCTATAGCTCTTACATATGAGCTTATTAGATTAACTTTTTTAGCAAAGATGAATGCTAAGGTCATTGCCAAATCAATTGGTCGAGTCTAGGTCCAGACCCCAGCCATATACCAATGCTCTTGGTGTGTCACTCTCTGGAAGATCGGAGTAGGTTCTTTCTGGTCATTATAGTTGCATGAAAAATGATAATTCTCTTAGCACAATTTTCACCATCTCATGTTTATGCAGGATTTACGAAGTCCCAGTCAAGCAAGTCAAGCATTGAGTCGGACTACTAGTTTCAGTTCTAATGCGAGTGACACTGATGATCGGCCACGTAGAAGGTCGGAACCTGCATATTCCTTTGTGGGGATGCATTGCATTTTTGACCAATGCAAGGCCATGGGTAATTGTTTTTTCATATCGGAATCAGTCAATCTCTTTCTTCATCTTGCTGAATTATGAACTTAACTAATCTAATTTTTCAGTTACGGTTATAAAGTTTGGGCATATGAGTTCTGATCTACTTGCATATGGAGCAACCGATGGCAGTTTGACAGTATGCAGTGTCTCCATGCCCCCTTCAGTCATTAAGCAGTTAATAGGGCATTCAAAAGATGTCACAGGTTGGATTAACTGGTATTGATTCTGCAGTCTTAGTCTTTAACCTCGTACATATATCAAAGTTGTTTGTGTTGTACTTTTCCTTTGTAAAAATGTATTAGACATAGTGGCTTAAATTTGTAACCAGTCTTAATTAGGTTGCAAGCAGCATCCTGTATCAATGTTGTCAAAGGCAAAAGGTGTAGAAAAGCACCAAAACTATCGGGGTTTTAAACTTAAAGCTCAATTTAGGGCTTTAGTGAAAAAGGAACTGAAGAACTAAAAAAGGGCAGTATGGTGCATTAAGCTCCCGCTATGTGTGGGTCCAGAGAAGAACTAATATATAAAAAAGGATAAACACAAAAGCGTTATGGGTAGGAGAATTTTTAAAAAGGTAGAAATTTTAATTAGTGAAGGATTGGTAGAAAAATTATGTGGAAGAAATCAACTTTCCTTAGATCTTTGATTCAGATGCAAATGTTAAGTTACTAATTCAGTATAGAATCTTGTGTTTCCTTAATCTTAATTTCTAATTTCCTATGTCTAATCCGCAACTTATCCATTCAGTATGTATCTGTTCGAATACTAAATCACTTTGATGGTGTATTTATGTTTAGTTCTACCTTACAAGATAGAGTCGTGAGTTCCTTGAAGTCAACTAAAGTTTTTCAAAGATTGTTGGTTTGCTATTTGCTAAGGTGTGCGCCTAGGACCTCACCATAGTTGAAGCACCACCTAAGCAATGTGAAGCTTAGCCTGCTTTGTGTCACACTTTAGGTTAGGGGTATGAGAATGGAGAAATAAGTCTTCCAGTATTTGTTGGGTTAAGTTGGTAGAAGTGACACAAGGTTTAACACAGAAATTGCTATAAAAGTTCTGACCAGAAGCTATGTCCAGAATAGTCAGTTGACTTTTGCAATGTCCAAATGGAAATGGTTTAGTAAATCTCATCTCTTCTGTCCTTGTGATTGTTTGTTCTCCCATTCAACTGATTAACATTTAACTCAGAACCTTGAAACATTGAAAAAAGGACACTGTGAATCATAGAAAATGTTTAATACTCAATCCATCCAAATTTGAATGGGAGTATTAGGCTGGACATGGACACAGTTTAAGGAAGAAAGGAAGGCTTTTGTCACAAAATAATTTGCAGAAAGTACCAAAGTATTCTTAATACCAAAATACTATGTTTTTTTATGCAGCGGGGGCTGTATTAAAGGCTAAAGAAATTGCAAATTGAGATGGAGAGAGTAGCCTTTTTACTCAGGGAAAGGAGTTAGCACCTGCAGTATTTGTTTCTATCACAGTGTGATTCTTAATTGCGTGTCCGTTTCACATTGTCTTGATTGATTTTTCCAAATCCCAACGAATCCAACCGCCAAATCTATGGAAATGAAAACATGTTGTTGAGGCCTAAAATGTTAAAAATAGATATTGTTGTTTGTCTAACACCCTCCCCATGTATATATGACCCACTAAAACAGCAGTTTTATTACGTTACAAAAAATTTAACTTCTTTTATTAATTTTTTATTAGTTCTGATCCAAGCTCAAATGTTGGTGGTTGTTGTTAAGCCTCATTTTGAGTTGACAGAAAGGAAGCATTTTCTTTTGATACCTGGCTTTGCCAAGAGCTTTTATCATCACACGAGTCTTTTAATGTTCGTACTTTTTTTAAACCTCTTATTTCAAATTTGATATTGGTTTTGTAAAGAATCCTTTTAATTCTCACAGTTTTCTGGATATGCGAAATTAGTACATGTGTTTAAGTCCCTACCCCAATCTATTGATGGTCTAAACTGAGTAATCCAGAAAGCCAGAAACCACACTATGGTGCTCTTATGGAGCTTCTTTTGATTTTCTTAGCATGCCTCTTCATGACTCTAATTGCAAGTCTGTGCCTCGGTCAAGAGTGACTAAATGCTAGCTATGCTTTATATATGTTTAACATGTTACTGATATGTTTTTGAAATCTGTCCTTTTTTCAGATTTTGACTTCTCCACAAACAATCAGTACATTGCATCATCTTCAATGGATAAAACTGTCAGAGTATGGGATATTTCTAGAGGCCTTTGCATTAGGGTGATTTATGGAGTCTCTTCACAGCTTTGTATTCGATTTCATCCTGTAAGTGGGAAAATATGTACCTTTTGGTTATGAGTACACATTTTCTGCAACCACCAGAATAGACTTTCCTAGATGACATTCTTCATAGGTTTTCATAAGTCATGTTTGCATGCAAATTTCTTGTGTTGTTGTCAATGCATATTTGCATGTGTTCTCCTTTTGCTTGGCAGTACAATAAACCATCTTCTTTGGCAACGTCTTCTTTTCAGCTTTTTTCTTCTCTATTATATTTTGTAACTGTTATCCATTCAGTAAGCTGTATAACTTATTGCATGAAGCGCCTTCAAATTCTTTTTTAGGCTTGGCATTTATATGCATTTAAATAATTTACTAAAATTAGTTCTTTCTTTGTTGCCTTTTTTATTTTCTTTTACAGGTGAACAACAACTTTCTTTCTGCTGGCAATGCAAAAAAAGAAATAAATGTAATTATCCTTTGCTTTTTAGCTGAACGCATTCTATTGTTTAGATCTACAGTATAAATCATTGTACATATCCTTGTTAGATTTATTGGCTTAATTAAAGTAATATTTCTTCATGGGCACATGATAAATATTTATCTGCCCTCCGGGGAAAGAGGATAGAACAAAGAAAGTAGAAAGGAGGAAAGGATATTTTCATGTGCACAGCAGTCATCATGAAATTAGATTATTAGAGAGATAACGTTTCCAAAATGCATTAAGGTACACTTGTTTTTCATCCCCAAGGGGTTGGCTGAGTGGTTGAGGCACAGTAGTAATAATCTGGAGAATCTTAGGGGAACAGTACAAATTTAATCAGGCCGACATTCTAACCTACTAGAATATTTCTTTTGCTTCTAAAATTGGATTTGGATATTGTTGCACTTGATAAGTAGGTTACTTTATTCTAAAAAAAAACAAGTAGGTTACTTCATTCTTTAAAAAAAAAAACAAGTAGGTTACTTCATTCTAAAAAAAAAACAAGTAGGTTTCTTCATTCTAAAAAAAAAAACAAGTAGGTTACTTCATACTTATATGCCTGCAGAAACTGTTGGTGGATTCATACACATTTTCAAATTACTTCTGATGGATTGGATGACGCTGCATCCCTGTATATATATATTTTTTCACCATATAGAATATGTCACAGCCTTCATTTCACTCTTTATCTTCTACCTCATTGAGAACTAAACCTTAAAACTAACATTCAGGTGTTCAATTTTAGCACGGGGAGAACGATCAGTACAACTGTGGTCGATGGCGAAGTCACTGCCATGGACCATGACCACACTGGTCAGTTTATTTTCTGCGGTGATAGTCAGGTTACCTGCTTTGTCCCTATTATTCTTCATTACAATTTCTAGACCTCTCTGTACCAAGGCTTACTATATTCAGCTTTCTTATTTGCAGGGATGTATTTACACAGTTAGTATGAACTCCCATACAGGTGCACTATCTCGAACTCATCGGAATAGAAGTAGCAGTAAGCATAGATCTGCTGTTACAACTGTTGAGTACAGGACATTTTCTCTGCTGGCACGGGGCCCTGTCTTGCTGGCTTTTACTCGTGACGGAAGTTTGTCGTTTTTCAGGTCAAACTGAAATATATGCCTCTCGTCTTGGTTTCTCTTTCTTCTGATTTTCTTTTTCTAGTCATATTGAAAGTATTCTGGGCTTGCAGCGTCTCTTTGGAGATGAAAGGTTATTTGACACTCCGGTGCTCACTGAAGCTGGCTCCACGGCTACACAGCATTCGTGCTTCTTTCTGTCCTTTACTTTCCCTTGAAAAGGGAGAATACATAGGTATGTATCAAATTTGTTCATAAAAAGTTTATTATCTTTAAAAGCTACTTCCAATTTGTAAATCTCTGCTTGCTTTTTTTTCCTCTCGAGATCCTAATATTGTAGTTTGTTTGGCTACCAAGCTGGAAGTCATTTTCTTGTGGAGAGATTTGTTTTGGTACAGATCCCTTGTTTTATTGACTTTCACTTCCTACCTTTAAACTACAATCAAGAAACTACCAAGCTGGAAGTCTTTTTTTTTGGAAAATAATAAAAATGAAAAAGTTCTAATGTCTTTGATCTATTGTGTTTCATTCTTTGGGTTGCCCTGGTAACATCTGTGTTGTTCCCTGAAGCTTCATGGATGTAAAACATGTTACCAGTCTCTACTGTTTATGAATTTCTTCCACAACTGACGTAGTTATTCGTTCTGTCAATTTGAAGTTGCTGGAAGTGAAGATGCAAATGTTTACTTCTATGATTTAACTCGGCCAAGGAATACATGTGTTAACAAACTTCAGGTATAAAAAAGATGAGCAAATTTGATCTACAGACTTATATCATTTCGACGACCACGGAAAGAGAATTAATAAATTGGGGTGTATTTGGCTGCAGGGTCATGGCTATCCAGTAATAGGTATTGCTTGGAATCATGGAGAGAATTTGTTAGCTTCCTCTGATTTTGGCGGCACCGTCATTGTATGGAAGAGAGCAAAAACAGCTTAACATCAATGCAGATCTGAGCTAAAAGCAGTTTGCATGCAGTTGATCTGTTCGATTCTGGCGTGGAATCTGTGAGGATTGTAATTTTCTATACAGGCATATCAGTTTAGCTATCTGAAAGTTTTTTAGGAGACTTGAAAAGTGTGACATCAGGGAGCTTTTGCATACTGATTGCACAATTGTATCTCATTTTTTCACTGACTTTGTACAATGTATTTGATGTCAGTGAATTACATAATTTCTTCAGTAAAAAACGCCCTATCTATCAAGACATGTTAGATGCCTTTCCAATTCAAACAATATTCCAATTACAGATACCACTTGCGTCTTACATATTTGCGTGTACTGGGAACACTGATGCCGAGTAGAAACAAGTAAAGGGTGAACACTCTACTAATTGAGGATACGCAGCACAATCAAGAAATATAGCAGGCAAAAACTAAGATAAGGCAAAAATAGAGTGGAGAGTACAAAATGTCTTAACATTTACCAGACTCTGAGTAGTTCCCATAGGGGAGATGTTTGCAGAAGGGCTATTGCCTCGAGCAAATACCAACACGTATTTACAGGTAAACAAACTAAACTACTTTAATTTATTATAAACAACACCTGTCACTCTAATAAGAAAATAGCGTCAAAGAACAGAAGAGAAACCTACAGTAAATAATTACACACAACCAAACACTTCCTCGACCTACTTAAAGGACACAAGGTGCATGCCTATCAAACCAGTTGGTAATACAAAGTTTCAGTCAGTTCCGTTTACATCAGTCTACATGATTGTCGCTTCTGATGCAGTTATAATTGCCTCAGTGTTTGCTTGCATCCCGTTGGCCAAATAAGTATTACCTCCGGCGGCGTTTGGACTCAACCTGAAATAGTCAGGTCAAATTTTGATATTTGAGGCTTCAGTAGCATATCTATATGACAATAACCACCAAACAAAATATTATAGAAAATAAAATCTAAAGAACTCCAGCTATTTTTGGACTGTAGATTTCAAATCACCAAATAACGCACATCTATTTTTGTTCTGTTAATTGAGAACATCATTTCAAAACTAAGGTGGATCCTTGTGTCCCCACTTCCCATAATATCCATACTTGACTACTATACTATCATTGTTTCAACATTCTTCCATAGAATCTGAAGGCAACCTTAACCAGTGTATTAATTTTTTACCAGCAATAGACGATAGTTAGAACTTAGAACCTTGTTAGCTGCATCATTGCCCAAGAGCAAAATACTCTCAAGAGTGTACATGAAATAGTCTCGGAATGTATACGAAATGCCCTAGAGGCCTAGACCAATTAATTTTTGCACAGAATCAGACCATATTCAGCATTGAATTTTCATTGGAGAACCTTCCGTTGCCCAGATTTTGTTTCACCAAATATATATACATGTATCGAAATCTAGCCCATATTTTCACCAAAAAATAAATAAATTACTTAATAACAGTAATGATGTGCATTTATTACATTGTACAATTATTTAGGGAATGTCAAGGCTAATTAAAGAAGTGACGGAGGAGAAATGACAAGGATGCTTAGAACTAACATTACTAGTTTTCCGAAAAAAGAAAAGGATGCTAAGAAAGACTGAGTAGTACTTGCTTCCCTTAATAAAGTAGCTTTGTTACTGAGACATAATTATTTTTCATCAAAAGAGAGTTTGCCTTACCATCATGAGTTGCCAGGGTGGTTTGAGAAGATAAATTTCAGAAAAGATGTATAAATCTCAGATGATTTTTTCCTCTTGCATTTCACCTGTGTATCTCTTATTCCAACATTCTCCTCCTATCAATTACCTTTTCCTTCATGTTTGATATTTCAAAAGGAGCTTTGAAGTACTCAGATCTCTTTCCAACACCTCCACCCCACCCAGTCTGATGACATTTGCTATTTACCTTTCTTTGGCATTACTAGTATGTTGCAAAAGATGATGGGTTACACACCCAAACTGCTACCCTCGCCACATGTAACAAATGGTATGACAAAAGCAGCAGCTTTACTAAGTATGTCTAGTCTAAAATCAACTTATCTTTTTTGTCATTGTTTTTCATACCAGCATGTTTTGAATGAATACAACAAACAACATCAGTGAATGGAGGCCAAGGAAAATAGAAAATAAGAAACTTATGTCAATTTAGATCACGGAAAGATGGATCAAAAAGGTAACCAGGATGTTTGTGTTAATCTAGCAATGGGCTCACCTTTATATCAGCATGAGAATTTAGCAATTTCTTCTGATCTTCAGATGAACAATTTTGGCAAAAGAAGTGGTCAAGTCTCTTGGCTTCCTCTGGCGTCATGTCTATACAAGTAGGGTGGAACCTGGATGAAAATTAAAGGCACTTAGTTGCAGTCATTCAGATGTTAAAAGTAGACTCAAGTGATGTACCAGTTTAGGAAAATGCTTTGTTGCTTAAGAATCTTGACATATGAATGGCTTTAAATATGCAACTATGCTAGCAGAAAACTTAACTGAAGACATGTTCAGCCCTCAAACAAAAAAATTCATATTTTCACCTGAATCCAGTTAGGAAAGGTGATCAAGAATCTGATGTATTCAGCTCTAAAGCTTCTCCCACACCTTGGCATCCATCCAAAACAAGAATTCCAATGCAGAAAAGTACATACCTAATATAATTAAAGGCATGACAACCTAAGAAATAGCTAAAATAATGACGTCTTTCGGTTTTCGCATTAAAAACTCTGATTTTATCTTTCGAGCAGAAATTCCTGATGGTTACTCTTCTTCATTCGCTCTTTTGCCTAACCTAGTTGCAGATATGTGGAGAGATGAAAGTTCAATACAAGCAGAGTAAAAAACAGAACACACCAATCTCCAAACTTAACATGAACTCTGGTGTTCAAACCACAATGGAAATAAATTGATCAGAAATATCAAAACCCTCTGAAATAAATGATTTATGATGAGCCAGTTACTTTCCATATAAATAAGTATATTAATTTCCATATATCAGCTCTCGGGATGGCTTAAAAGGCCGTTTTAACCTTGGTTTTGGGATCTGAACAATTTGATCCTTCTAATGAAATACCTTTTGGGAAATTCCCCTTTTTTTTGTAAGTAAACAATTATCACAATGATAGGAAATTTCATGTTTACAAGCAGTACGCCATAATATGAACGAACGACATCCAATCTTCTATACTCAATGGAACTCCATGGGTGCACCAAAAAGATGCAACGAATGAGAATGATCATATCTTAAACACCTGATCACAATTTACTGTACCTCGGAATGACCCTATCTTAGTTTCTACCGAAACGTCAATGATTAAGAACAAAAATAGGCTATGGAATACTAGCTTTGAACTAGATTTAACATACTACGAGAGAGTCCGTCATATTAAACTTCGTCTATTCCACTATGAATATATTGTTAAACAAAAAAACCTTACCAACATCCAATTTATAAATCAAACCCCTTCAATTTAACATGATTAAGTAATAATTTGAGGGGAGAATGTGTTAATTAACAATTGTTAAGTGATAAAATGCACATGTCATACATTTATTTGGTTGGTGTAAACTCCATGTGTAGGTAAATTCTTTCCATAATTTGACTTCCTGAACAAAGCATATTCCAAATCTGACCAGCCATATAGATATGCATAACACATCAGCATACATAATTAAAGATATACCAGAAAAGCTGATGGCAGAACAGAGATCTAATGGTCATGTAATAGGGAACTTACTACCTTTTTTGTCAGTATGATAAGGCGTTTACCACCATCACATCAAGGAAACTTTTATTTTACACAAATAGGAGAGCAAAGAGAAATAAGTGTTTCAAAGTAGAATATTAACTGTACTGCATCATGCACTTAAAAAATGTCTGAGTAACTCCACTATGTGGGTAAACCTGCTCCTAACATTCGAGCAGAAGTCATACAACATGTTAAAAGGTATCATGATCCTCCATCAGGAAATGTCTGAGTAACTCCAGATACTCATGAATAGCTTGAGTCGCATACCCTGGTGCAACTAATGGCCAACTTTTCTTTTGAAATTAGCTCTTGCACTATGTCGAGACTTGTCAAAAAAGAAAATAGTACACATAGAGCATGTAATGAAACATAGGAATAGGCTTTGAGATTGGAAACTAGTGCACGACCTATACTATTTAACAGCAATTCTTACTACACTATTTGCCTCTTATCAGTAACTTTAAACTTGAGAAGATTTTAAACATCATGTAACTGAGAGCTAAACAAGAAACCAGATGATAACATATTACCTACCATGAGAAAAATGTGAAGAATCAGACTTACCAGTCACTGCAGCCCTCACATTGAACCATGAGGTCATCAGGATTGTATGGCATTTCACATTTACAGTACCTGCCAAATTAGGACCAAAAAGAATACTTAGTGATAAAACCAAGGTTAAGAACTTCCAAAAAAATGTTGTTTCCTCATAAGCATCACGTAGTTAGTATTGTAGCTACATATTGTCAGATTCTGAAGCACGAAACTATATGAATGTCTTTAAACTGAAAACTTTATTCAGAAAAATAAACTACTGCTCCTCAACAAGCTATTACCAAATCATTAATTACTGATAATGCAAAAATCTGAAGTCAATTACCACTTTTTTAAAATGTACTAATTAAATAGAGATTGTAAGGAAAAAAGCCACAATTTTTATCAAACTTTGTACATACACAGCAACTCTGTCAGGATTAAATGCTCCGGTAGAAGAATTGTAGTCAAATCGGCAAAAGAAATCTTCGTTCCCAACAGCGTCGAGTTTGGTGTAGCTCTTGAACGTGTGGACCGTACACTTGCCTTCAATTGTGTCGGCACTTTGTATATCGCGGTGATCGGACATAAAAAGTTCCTTGGAGCCGTGAAACTGACGTCGGCCACCGATCGACTCCTCCGGACGGTAGTACCACCGGACGTGAACCCTGACGTTGCCACCTCTGTTGTCGGACTCAATCTTCTCAACTCGAGCAACGTACGACGGCTTTGACGACTCCGACGCTCGCATCAACACGCAGTCGCCGGCTGAAGAATGTTTCCAGGTAGCGCAAGTTAGATTTTCCGGCGAAAAAAGTTTTTTTCTGAAAAATTGAGAGAAGGTTTATGAAATAGAACTTACCTCGAACAGTCTTGTTGATGGATTTAACTGTGTAAGAATCTAGGGTTCGACGATTTGTACGAGTTTTAGCCATGGACTGAAGGAGGAGTGTGTAACACCACAAAAGTCATGCGCCTGAAACTGCAAACTGTGTGAACTGTGCAGGAATACAAACAGGAGAG